ATGCCCATAGGAAATAATGGGATTTCACTTGCAGGGCGTTTTACAGCGTGTCGATCAGCGCTGTAAACGCCCAGGTGTGAACCCGGCCTTAATGGCTCTAAAATGATTGCTCTCACTCAGTTTGCGGCGATATGCAACATGTGCGGCACGTAGGTGCACCTGACGCATATATGCGTGTGTATGTGGGGGGCGCGGACTTAAAAAAAATGTTTAAGAAAATAAATGTTATGCTTCTTTATTTTTTTATCAATCTTTCATTTTGGTATAATTTTTTTTTTACATACAACTAAATTGCTATTACATGGGGGGCTAAGAAGCCCCCTATGGGATAGCCAATTTACATGACAGGTCCTCTTTATGGAGACATCAGGGGTCTCCAAGACCCCTGTCACTTAGGGACCTCCAGAGAAGCTGATGAAGCAGAGATCAGCTTCATCAGCTTCTCTAGCTGGAGAGTGACACTGAATGCAGGAAGTGATGTAATTTACATCACTTGCTGCATTCGGGGACTGAGAGGAGATCAAAAGGGAGTTCGTGTACTGAACTCCCTTTGATCTCCTGTCACAGAGCCGTGCCGGTCCCGGCCGCATCGGGCACAGCGTATCTCGGGACCGGCAACGGCAGTGACAGCTTCTGATACAAGTGATCGGGCGTCCATAGAGACGCTCGATCGCTTGACTGTAAAGCTCCCGGCCGGCCGTGTAATTACAATGGCCGGCCGGGAAGCTGCTCGTCGGGCTCCACTGTCTGCTCGTCACAGACGAGCAGACGAGTGGATTTTTCGAGCCATGACTATAACTCTCTTGCCGTGGTGAGACTTCTGTTTCCTCCCTGATGCTTGATGTATGCTGACAGAATCCGAATAGGATGTCCCTCCAGCTGGATGTCCAGCGCTGCAGGGACAACCAAATCACCCAAAGTTTCAAAATACTTGAGATGAGATTCTTATAACATCCAAGTCCCCTTCACCAACAGGGTGCAAATGACTCCTCCACAACCTGACAGACTGGGAGCCGTCATGAGGATCTTCCAAAAGGTGGAAAGGAAATACTTTCAACTAGGAGCCAGACTGCTGAGCCACCGAGCCAGGGACAACCTGATCCTATGTGCCAGATAAATCAGTCTGTCCAAGGGCTGGACTGGCTTTTCCTTCAAAAACAGAAAGTTGTGTTGAAGGGGTTTGGAATATAACTGGGTAAAAAGGATGGACTTGGAGGCTACCATCAACCTTAGGGCGCAGAAGTGAAGAGTCAAGCGACTCCCGGATTGAAAAGTAGGCGTCTGGGAGTGGAGAGTCTTAAGTCTCTTCAACATTAGACAGTCTTAGTAGCTGATGTCTAAAAAAGGTCACTGAAGCCACAGACAGCTATACTGTAGAATCTGCAGGTGAGTGTGAAGGAGCACACTTGTGGCCCCTATGTTCAGAGTCAGCAAACATTTGTGCCATTCGGCCCTTATAGTCAAACATGACTGAAGTAAGAAACCTCCCGACAGAAATAAAGTTATGCTGCTTTTTTTCCCTCCAACAACAGTTCAGGTTACAGAGCAAGACCTTAAAAATATCTATAAGTATAAGGTTACAGATCATTTACTTCCTAAAAACAGATTTACAGTGCCTACAACACCAATAAAACAAAGACTCTTACCTTGCGTTTAGTTTCTTCAAACAAGCTCATAAGACTCTCCTTGGCAGTCAGGATCGGATTGCTGGCAGCCAGGCTTCGCATGTAGTAATAAACAGCATCCAGTTTCCTCCTCTGCAGCACAGGCAAACAGTTCAATTCACATTTGACTTATTAAACTAAGCAAATCCAATCACAGTCTGCACAAGAGTCAAGAAGTTCAAATCATCTATACATATACATCCATGGAGCTAATTTACTAAAGGAGTAGACTGTTCGCTTTGCAAAGTAAAAGGTGAACGGATAAAGGTAAAGCTGTGTTCACTTTGAATATGTAAATCACGTACGAGCAAAAGTCCTGTTTGTTTAATTGCCCTCCCACATGATTAGGTATTCAAAGTTTGAAATTAATGGTAAAATGAGACCGCAAAAGTGTCAGATATAGTAGATACTGATTGTAACCAGGGTAGTTGCGCTAGGATATATTTACAGAAATTAACCAGCTGCAGCAATAGCTATCAACGTGATCAAGTGTCACAGGAGACTACGTCTATTCTACATCCAATGTTTTATCTTCCATTTACTTAATGGACTATTGAAGATCCAGGATCATGGACATTTTTTAACCATTTATTATTTTCACTGCAGTGCAAGTTACACACATGCGTTTCTCTAGTTGGTATTCTTTGCTCATTGCATCACATTGATTCACAGTTAATATTTAGTGCATTTGATTTTTCATTATGGATATTTTGTAGCAATTACATTCACACTAAGGTGCATGTTATATACATGCGTTTCTTCTTTGTTTTGCACTTTTTACACATTGTATCACATTACTCCAAGGTCAGTATCTACTATATCTGACACTTTTGCGGCCTCATTCACACAGCGCGGCTTTTACCATTAATTTCATAGGTTATATCTGACCACACAGATTTCAGCTGCTGCTTAACTTGATTAGAGTAGTGGCGCGAGGTTTCACATTATTCAGGTATTCAAAGTTATTACAGGTTAACCTTCTTCACTAACATTGCCCTTTGGAAAGTGAATATCCTATACTTCTTTAGTAAATCGCTACCCTGGTGTGAAAGGTTCATTTTAAAACAAACCATTAATTTTTTTAAGTAAAAGGTCTTGGCTAACAGAGGGTATCAAAATTAGACTAGCTATACCTTTGTCAGCTAGAAAAGCCTCTTCTGTACACTCTACTAATCCAGGTTTCACTTGGTTACTGAGGCCTCCGCCAGCCTGCGTTTAAAGAGGTCACTGTCCAGGCTGCTGATAAATAACATTTTTACAATTAGCACTTACAGATGCTGCCCTTGCATAGCAATTTATTACTGCTTTTGTCAGTAGCTATGTAGTTTTCTTCAACCTCAGACACTTCTCGACAGAAGCCCTGCTTGTCCTCCCCCCTTCTGGCACACCGGGGGGGGGGGGGGGGGAAAAAAACCCCCCTCCCCCCCCCGCGCGCGGGGGGGGGGGGGGGGGGGGACGAAAGCCGCACAAGCGCACACTGCCCGCTCACCATTGCAATCATCTGTAAACCCTCCTCTCAGCAGGGAGGACTTGGGATGATCGCAGGTACGATCTGCCTGTCCAAGATGGGCAGTTCGTACAAACTTTTAATTACCTTACATGGCCACCTTTACCCACACACAGTTTTAGGAGTTGGAATCAATCACAGGCAACAGCAAATTCACCTTGATGTCAAAGCTAGTACAGAGCCTACTAAAGAATGCCTTTAACCAGTTGACATCCGCGGTGTTAAACCCCCTTCCCATCCAGACTCCTGAAAGTATCAGAGGATGAAGAAAACTCCATGGCTATTACCGATAAAATGGTCAAATTAATTGCTATAGGAAATGTAGCATCAGGAAGTGATAATTTCAAACATTTTATGTATGTTAACAGCATAGGAACATCTTACCTAATGGCAGGGCATTTAAAAAGGGACACTAAACTCAGGAGTTGAATGGAAAAAAAAAAATGGCATTCAAGTACCTTCACTATGCAAAACCGTATCCATCTTATATGCGTTAGACTCAGCTGTAGATCCTGAAAACATCTGAAACATTCCTTCCTTCTGGAGGGTGGTGTGTGTGTGTGTGTGTGTGTGTGTGTGTGTGTGTGTTAAAGTAGCCATGACGCCAAAGCTCTACAGCTGAGTGATACACAAATAAGATACATTTTTCTTAATAGTCAAGTTACTTGAAATTTTTAAGATTTCACTCCTGAGTTTAATGTCACTTTAAGTTTCGTCCCTGCCACCCCCTCTTCCCAATACCCACAATATTCATCTCCTGGCGTCAACAAGGGAGCACTCATATCCTTGCCTTCAAACTTCAACCTGGTCACTGGGTCAGTATTGAAGCAACACAAACAGGTAATTAGCATTTTCAGAAAGAAGGGTCAGTAGTGGAAGCCTTTTAGGTTTCTTAAAACAGAATGTTTTCTCTAATTGGCAGTCCAGTAATAAAAATGCCATCCAACATAAGACGATCTAGTCAATTTTACCCACCTAATATAATGATTATGTCTATGCTACCTTAAGGCCAAGCAAGCACCCCAAAAATGGAGGCAGAGGCACTGATTGACTAAATACGTTTTTTCCTTTCCACCCTTCTAAGCACACTGTTAGTTTTTTTAAAGCCTCAGCTTACCGTGTATATGGCTAGGAGTGCCAGCTGGTTATAAGGTCGGCCATTCTTTGGAGCAATGTGTTGTGCTTTTAGATACCAGCTGCAACGATATTGAAAATGTTGTGAATATTCACCATACAGACCAAGCTCTCATCATGAATGAAAGTATTAAATGTCATTACCTTCGAGCCTTTCCATAGTTACAAGTGTCTGCAGCCTGCTCCCTGTAACGAGCAATGTCACCCTGACAAATCATGGACCGCTGTGCACTAATTAAAGCAAACTTCACCTGAGCACAATAAAAATCATTTGTTGTTACAAACTGTAAAATATAACAATGAAAAAAAAAACACAATCACAAAACACAACATACCGTTTTACGAAGGGGCTTGCTGCGGATTGCCATCCCATCCATGTAATCTTCTAATTTAAACTGGTAGGTTGTCTGCAACTTCTGAAGCAAACCATCAAAAAACACTGTACCCTATAGGGAAGACAAGATTGTGCTTAATGGAGAAAACAAGAACACACCCAGGAATACATACAAATTCACAGAGGATCAGTCAACACTCTTTCCTGCATTTGGTTTGCTCATCTCAGTCAAAATCGTTATCCAAAATGCAAAGAATCTTCTGTTTGTATAGGAGATCCCATGTCAGGCTGAAATGCTGAATACCTGTACCCAGTGTTCTGTCCAAGCTTATGTTTTTTAATAAAAAGGGACCAAAAAAGTAGGTCAAATCATTTTGTCAGTTTGCCTTTTACCAGTTTTTAAGCTGAAATACACCAGGTTTGTAAACAGATGTAATTACATACTGAAAATAAAGTTTACACAGTAAGTAACGCTAGGGCTGCAACTATTGATTATTTTCATATTCAATTAGTTGGCCGATTATTTTTTAGATTAAACAGATTAAAAAAAAAAAAAAAGCGTCGCCTAGGGCCAATTTTGGGTATTATCGTTTTTTGAGGTTTCGCGCGCGCACGCAATTTTAAGGCTTGACATGTTTAGTGTCTTTTTACCCGACGTGACCCCATCTTTTATATTTTACCAAAAAATTGGGTAATAATAAATGTTTTATCATTTAATATAGGGGAAACTGTTTTTTTTTTTTTTTTAAATTTCGGTAATTTTTCCTTAATATAGTAAAAAAATAAAACCCCCAGTGGTGAATAAATACCACCAAAAGAAAGCTCTATCTGTCCCCAAAAAAGGGTATAAAATTCATTTCAGTACAGCGCTGCATGACGGAATAAATGTCAGTTAAAGTACCGCAGCGCTGACTACTGAAAAATGGCCTGGATGGGAAGGGGGTTTAACACCGCGGATGTCAACTGGTTAAATTTAAAATAAAATACACAAATGCAGTTATAAACAAAGTTAACTTCAGAATAAAACTGCATGCAAAATATTTGCAATCGCACTGAAATGCACGGCATTGCGGTACTGTGCGTTCCAGTGCGGATGATCACACTGCGGGTGGGAGGTGCATTAGGGGTGACAGTGAAAAGGAATTGGTCAGGCCGATTTGTCATTGCGGGGGCAAAAGCCAGCCCGCTATTGGCCAATTCAAACTGCAATAGCAGGCTGGCAATTAAACCCACCCACTGCTTGCTGTGCCCTCCTCCCAGTGTGGAGGAGAGAGCTAGGAGATCCAACCATCTAAAATCGATAGGGAATAGTTGTCAACTATTGTCCTTATCGATTAGTAGGTTGCAGCCCTAAGTACGGCACAAGGAGGACAATACCAAATGTGATGTAGGCTCTTCATCTGTTTATCTTATTCCAGGTAGCAGTCTGACCAATTTTAAATGTGCCAGCAAAAGGCAGGCATACAGGCTACCTAACGTAGGGTATTAGGAAATGGCTTCTAAATTTTAGTAGGAAACTCCTTTAGAAATAGGTCCTGCTGTATTTGTTCTTGCACCAAGACCCTTGTCTACCTTCCCCTGCACACCCCCTTATTGAGACACTTATCTGAGATTTTCTACCTAAAATTGGCAGGGGGGGGGGGCGAATTCATATGATCATCCTTGGTCGTTCTTGCTCTGAACTGGGCTGTGGGGTGGAGCCACATGGATCCAGCACATCACTACATTAACACCCACCAACAGTGACGATTGACATTTAGCAGCAATCAGGCCCATCTAAACTGATACATACAGTACAGCTTTAGCTAAATGTGGACATACAAGACAGTAAACCAGATGCTGTGAGTTAAATGTGTTTGCAGCGCTGGCTCACACTGCACAGCATAAGACACTAGCCTGAGCTCCCCTTCCAGGCACTTTACTGCTCATGTAACGTGGATAACACAGCAAACATCACCCGATACAATAAGGAATACAGGACGAAAGTTCTACTTAAGAAAACACTGCACTCACACAAAGAGCAACACAACAACTTACAGTATAAATGTTAGCTTCTGTTCCTAGGATTCCATGTGCATAACTCCCCCCTCTCCCAGAATTATAGAGACCATCCGGTATGATAATAAAAAGTCAGTCTAATTGAAGCAGATGCTGAGGGGTGAGCTCTCACAGCATGAACTACATTCAGGCAGTGAAGAGAAATTTGCTTCTGGTATACTAAACTGGACACAAAAACGGAAGAAGAATGCGTTGGTTAAGGTGAGAGGTTGAACCCACGTTAGGAAAAAGCAAAAAAAAAAGAGTCTCTGGGCCATAACACCACCTTAACCTTGTGTTACACGAAAAAGGGTTCTTTACAGAAAAGGCAGCCAGCTCAGACACACCCCTTGCTGAGATGATGGCACCAAGGAACGCAACCTTTTGAGTGAGAGCCGAAAGGGGAATATCGATATTGGGTTCAAAAGGTGTTCTTTGAAGTGCTGACAGAACCAAATTGAAAGCCTGCTACTCTGTGTTCCTGTGACGTCGGCTTGCTATTCGACCACCACTCCCGTCTGCTGCCTTGTACTACGCAGTCTGCAGGTCACCGACTCCGGCCTGCTACTGACCATGCTCCTGTCTGTTAATGACTCAGTTTGTATTGGTCCATGTCTCATCTCGAACCCTGCTCGCTGGTGTCAATCTCCTGTGTTTCATCAGCTTCAGAGACTCACCTCCTCAGCAGCAGTGACATCTGGCATGTGTGCCACTCCATGTCCCTGCACACATATTTAACTATTCAGGGGTTCTGGGGCTAAAGCAGCAAGATAGGCCACCTTTGTCAACTCAGACTCCACCAAGGTACTTGAAAATGGGCCATGGCTTTGGACCTGGAGAGAACTCTTCGGCTAACACAGTGCACAAAAGTCTGGAAAGTGCCACAAGCAGAGCTCAGTGCCCAATGATTCCACCCCAGGCAAGCCCTGCAATCTTTAGTCCAGCGGGTCCAGATTCGGCCTCCAAGGCATCGCCAAGGACCAATTTGCATAGCTGCATAAAGAGCTGAACTCAGCCGTGTGTCGATAAAGACTTGATTGAAGCAAAAAAAGATCTTTAGAAAACAAATGTGATAACTACTACAAAATAAGTAGAAAAGACATCTATCCTCTGAATACACTAGCAAAAAAACTAAAAGCATCCTTGGAGTGGGTTATACCTCTCAGGCAAATGGGTATTTTTATTTGCCAGTGTCCACCTCCTCCTGAAGGTGTCAGTAAAAGCTAATTGTCTTAGAATACCTTAAAGTGACATTAAATGGCAAATTTTCTTTTTCCCTCACCCCAACGTTAAAGCACTTACCTTAAATGATGTCTCTAAATCCGATCATCTTCTTCTTTCCTGTAGTTTTCATCTGTCCCTCCAGCGCTGCGGCGAGTCTCCAATCCAGCGCTTACTCCTCTGGGCTTGCTGGCACTTCCTGTCCCATGGTGTCGGCATGCGTCCATATACTTACCTTGTGTCTCCCCTCGTCTCCGGGCCAAAAATGTGAACTGCGCATGCGCCCACCCCAAGATGCTTTGCGGCCGCCCGAGAATTTTCACATTTTCGGACGGGAGCGCGCGAGGAAGACACATCTAAGTTTAAACCGCTGTTAAAGCGGGTTTTTTTTTCCTACTTTTGCATATATCTACTGCTTGCTAGCAGTAGATATATGCAAAAAAAGCTGAGGGTTTAGAAACGCTGTTATCCTGCCTCCCATAAGGAATGGAAACAAAAAAAAAAGCACCAAAACAATCAGAAGCACTGCGAACCCATTTGCTTGTCTTTTTTTGCATTCCGGTTTTAACATTTCAATTTCGGTGCACCTCTAATAACGCTTACTCCTCACCTCATCCAACACCTGCAGCAGCTTCTTGTGGAATTCCTCACTTTCGGGAGAGGACTCCTTTAAGAAATGCCTAAACTTTTCAATGACCTGATAGAAGACATTTTTCCACAGCAGTTGATCCACGTTGCGCTGGTCACAAAATTCAATGTCAGTGAGCAGACAGTGTTCATACATATTAAGTAGTTCTTTCCTGCAGAAAAGATCCAGAGACAATTAATAGTGTACATGCTGATGCCATTTCTTATATATTATATTTTTCTCTGGTTTAAACTCAAAAGATAAGTAAGAAGCTTAAAACAACAGAGGCCAGGTCACACAACAGTTTAAAAAACTAGCAATTATGTTTGAAGTGAACCTGTTGCGCATGCGAGGCAAAGCAAGAGGATCACTGTAATTTAGCTCTTCCTAGCAACATATAATTTACTTTTGATCCCCACAGTCAGTTCAACTGCTATGAACAAACTGAAGCCCTGTGTAAGCAGGAGTCGCTGAAGTCATAGCTTACACAGATCTAAAAACTCCTTATGCAAGATCCCTGGTTGGTCCAGTGCCGTCACATGCTCAGATGAACCTGGTATTTCCTTCTACTTCCATTACAAATTGAAGCAGCAGGGTAGTGAAAAAATTAAGTATAGCACAGTGACTCCTGCATGGAGTTTGTATGTTCTCCTTGTGCTTGCATGGGTTTCCTCCCATACTATCAAAGACATGCTGGTAAGTTAATTGACCCTAGTATGGGTTTCACATGCATGGGGGGGAAAGGACCTTAGGCTGTAAGCTCCTTAAAGGCAGGGACTGATGCAAATGTACAATATGTAAAGCACTGCGTAATTGTCAATGTTATATATACACAGTAAATACTTGTAATATGTATATGCTGGGGTGGAGGGGACAAAAATACTAAAATGTGAACTATACTGCACACAGGAATATACACTTGGTAGTAGGGATTCACCGATGTATCGACCAAAAATGGAATAATGTGGAAAGTGCCATTTTCTGGCCGATATAGCGGTGCATCCATTCAATCTCCCCTCCACGCTGGGCGCTGCTCTGTGGCCCAGTGGGGAGGAGAGAAACTGTCACAGGCTGCCGAGCACTGCAAGCAGCCGGCGTCTCTCCTCCCACACCGCTCAGCCCCCGTCCCGGATCAGAGGAGAGCGCTGTGGACAGAGACAGCCAGCGCTGTCACAGCAGGCTGAGCTCCGCTCGCTCAGCCTCCTGTGACAGCGTGTCAGGAAGGAGAGCGGTACAAACACTCAGCGATCAGTGATCGCTGAGCGTTTGTAAATAATTGAGGACAGAGTATGTTTACTATATCCTCAATTATGAATGAATGGGAAGCGATCTAACATTACCTCCTGTTCATTCCTGATTGTGGTTATAGCAAAACATACTATGTTCTCACGTTATGAATGCTGGGCGCTGCTGTGTCCCAGCGGGGAGGAGAGAAACTGTCACAGGCGGCCAAGCGCTGCGGGAGGAGAGCCACGCACCGCTCAGCCTCCTGTCACAGATCAGACGAGAGCAGTGTGGGTGGAGAGAGCGAGCGCTGTCACAGCAGGCTGATCTCCGCTTGCTCAGCTTCCTGTGACAGCTGTCAAGGAGAGCGGTACAAACACTCAGCGATTAGTGATCGCTGAGTGTTTGTAAATAATTGAGGACAGAGGCTGCAGTGTTTGTAAATTGATAACAGGGGCTGCAGAAAGAGATTGTGTTCTCAATCTCTTTTTCTATTTTAAAAGGGAAATATCAGGGGTCTGTTTAGACCCCCGATATTTCCCCGAAGCCCCTAAAAGTAAAGTAAAAAATAAAAAAAATTAATAAAAATGAAATATAAATTTTAAAAAAAATTCAAAAAAAGTTAAAATAAAAAAATTTTTGGTTTCGGCCTAACATTTTATTTTGGTTTAAAAATTTTCATTTTTGTGCACCTCTACTTGGCAGAAAATGGAGCAGTCTCCTTCATAATTTCAGAGGTAATATACAGTCGTGCTCATAAGTTTACATACCCTGGCAGAATTTATGATTTCCTGGCCATTTTTCAGAGAAAATGAATAACACGAAAACCTTTCTGTCACTCGTGGGTAGTGTTTGGCTGAAGCCATTTATTATTAATCAACTGCGTTTACTCTTCTCCAAATCACAATGACAACAGAAACTACCCAAATGACCCTGATCAAAAGTTAACATACCCTGGTAATTTTGGCCTGATAACATTCACACAGGTTGACACAAAGGGGTGTGAATGGGTATTAAAGGGGTGTGTGTGCGTGCGTGAAGGCCTCCTGACAGACCCTTGCATCCTTCATCCAGTGCTGCACTGACGTGTCTGGATTCTGGATGGGGAAAGCAAAAGAATTGTCAAAGGACATGCGGGAAAAGGTAGTTGAACTGTATAGAACAGGAAAGGGATATAAAAAGATATCCAAGGAATTGAGAATGCCAATCAGCAGTGTTCAAACTCTAATCAAGAAGTGGAACATGAGGGGTTCTGTTGAAACCAAACCAGGTAGACCAACTAAACTGTCAGCCAGGAAAATTGTTCGGGATGCAAAGAAAAACCCACAAATAACTTCAGGTGAAATACAGGACACTCTGAAAACGTGTGGTGTGGCTGTTGCAAGATGCACAAAAAGATGGGCTGCATGGTCAGAAGAAAGCCATTACTATGCAAATGCCACAAAGTATCCTGCTTACAATACGCCAAACAGCAGAGACACGCCTCAAACCTTCTGGCACAGTCATTTGGAGTGATGAGACCAAAATTGAGCTTTTCGGCCACAACCATAAACGCTACATTTGGAGAGGAGTGAACAAGGCCTATGATGAAAAGTACACCGTTCCTACTGTGAAACACGGAGGTGGATCGCTGATGTTTTGGGGATGTGTGAGCTACAAAAAGGCACAAGAAAGTTGGTCAGAATTGATGGCACGATGAATGCAGTAGGTTATTAGAAGATACTGGAGGACAATTTGCATGCATCAGCCCGGAAGCTGCGCATGGGACGTACTTGGACATTCCAACATGACAATGATCCTATACACAAGGCCAAGTCGACCTGCCATTGACTACAGCAGAATAAAGTGAAGGTTCTGGAGTGGCCATCTCAGTCTCCTGACCTCAATATCATTGAGCCACTCTGGGGAGATCTCAAACGTGCAGTTCATGCAAGACAGCCCAAGAATTTACAGGACCTGGAGGCTTTTTGCCAGGAAGAATGGGCAGCTTTACCATCTGAGAAGATAAAGAGCCTCATCCACACATAGCACAAAAGACTTCAAGCTGTCATTGATGTTAAAGGGGGCAACACACCGTATTAGGAACTGGGGTATGTAAACTTTTGATCAGGGTCATTTGGGTAGTTTCTGTTGTCATTATGATTGGAAAAGAGTAAAAACAGTTAATTGATAAATGGCTTCAGCCAAACACTACCCACGAGTGACAGAAAGGTTTTCGTGTTATCATTCATATTCTCTGAAAAATGGCCAGGAAATCATACATTCTGCCAGGGTATGCAAACTTATGAGCACAACTGTACCTTACTTTACGCATAGCAGCAGGTTGCCATGCACAGACATGTGTTGTAACACGTTATGCATTGCATAAAAATGCACACGATGCATTTTATAAAGTGCACATATACTTGCTTGGTGTGAAAAGGGCACAAAGAGAAATATTGTTTTCTATGTGTCCTTGCCTTAAACCTGCATTGATTAATGCAACCCAATCCATCTGGGATTGACTCCCCCCTAATGCAGCATGCATCTTACCTAAGCATAGCCATTTTAGTCAGTCCTTCTACACTGATGCCATCACGGGAGAGAAGATTACTAAGCTGTAACTCCTGGCTATCTGCCATTCGCAAACGATGACTGAGCTCCTGCTGCTGAATTGTTCTCACTTGCAGCTCAATTTCCTCAGGTGTGATCGGGTTTCCAGAGTATGATCCAGGGTCATAATGCCCTGACTGAGCTGGGTATCCCGGATAATATGCGCCTGGATAGATGCTATTGTTTGGGCTCATAGAATATGGCACAGAGTAGTTACCATAGCCATATGGTGAACGGGCATAGTAGTATGGATTATCAGAGTTCTGAAATTTGTAGAAAGAAGTTTGAGGGACAGATTGGTAGTTGTCACTCTGAGAAGGAGCAGACTCATCATCAGTGTCCAGAAAATGAAGCTGAGGGCTTTGATTTTTGAGCGCAGGCTTCTGTTCAGGGTTGTTCGGGTCCCACAGACGGCGGTTAGCTCCACCACGTCCTCTACCACGGACACCTTTGGTGGAAACATTGAGAAGTGGCTTGGTGCTGCTTACTTCCTGTGTTCCAGCAGTGTTGGATGAGAAGTCTGTGTTAGCTGGAAGAATAAGAATGCCTCTTCCTCCTTTGGGTTCAGCTGACTTTTCTCTTGGTTCCTTCTTCTCCAGATCAGTGTTGCAGCCATAAGTAGGTCTTTCCCCACGTCTCCTGGTCCTATCCTCTTCATTGTTATGGCGGTGTATGGATTGCTTTTTCAATTCATAATTGTCTCTGCTGATTGATCTTTTAGAGCCATCTACTTTGGTTGGGTAGCCATTATCAGTTGATCCCTGCCTCTTTTTCACCTTGTTTCGGTTTGGTATCGGTCCATCCAACCACTCATTGTGATCTTCTTCAAATGAGTCTGTAGAAGAGAGTGAAATCTGCTTCTTTGATCGTACCTTTTCTTTCCTATCTCCAACGGTCTTCAATTTTTCCTGACATTCCTTGCTCACCTCAGCCAAAATAGCTTCTTCACTGCTATTGTTACTTCCAGCAGAGCTGGTGCTACAAGTTCGTGTGCGCGTCCGTCGCTTGTCTGAATGGGAATACCGTTTAGTCTGGCCAGACTTGCATTCCTCCTTTTCTTGTCTTGATAAATACATTTCTTCACCTGCCCGGTTAGATTTATCTCTTTCTGATCTCTTGTTTTTGTCATTCTTGATAGCTTTAGTCCCAGCTTCTGGAGGAAACTTGTGATTTTTCACAGCATTCTCAAGAGCTTCTTCATTTACAATTTTTAGTTGCTCTGTTTTCCTCACAACATCTTCTGTCATATCACTTAGTGACTCCTTTACAGGGGTCTGAAGACGTCTTCCTGGCTGGTAAATCAGCCGATCTGGTTTCTTGACTCTCTTGTTGCCTTTTCGATCCAGAGTTTCTGCATTCGCAGACAGTGGGCCATCGTGTTCCAGGTCATCCTCCTCCTGAAAATTATTTTTGGATGCAGCAGACGGGCTTATCCCGTTAACAACAGATTCACCGTCATTTGCTTTCTCGCTTTGAAAACCCTCAGTGTGATTTATTCCACCGTCAGAATGATCCAGTTTAGGCTTATTTCGCAATCTTGATAGTCCGGGTTTATAGATCTCAATGTCTGGACGTCTGTTGTCCTTCCTCTGTCGGGGTTCCTTCATCTCCTTTACAGTCCCTAAAACAATGAAACACCAACATTTTAATATCTTCAAAAGCTTACATAAATCAAGAACACTACATATAAAAGTGCGGTCTTATACAGACCAGAGTTCTAAACTACAACTTGAAAGAAGAAAAAAAAAAGTAAATATTCTTTGGGCAAATTAAATATTTTCAGTTTATGATGTGAAAACGTCACCAAATTTCACTTAAATGTTCTCCCTGTCAAAGTAGAAATGTCGGGCCCAGAGTCAAGATCTATGGTCGCATGGGGGCTGCCCTTTTTCCTCCCTGACCTCAAGACTAATGACTGGCTCCGTCTGGGCTGTTGGTGGGTAAATTTGTCAAGCAACAAAGCTTTTTGCTTATCACGTAATCATCACAGAACTTGTTAGTGGCAGTTTACACAGTTTGAGTGTCTATTTTTAGCACTGAGCTTAGATAGGACAGCCTTACACTTCTGTACTGACAGGGAGGGAGTACAAGCAACTAAAAATAAAACACTTTGCTTTCAAGGTGTGTGTGTGTTGTAAAGCAGCCACTGCTCCAAGTTAACTACCGTGATAGACTACAATCCCAATACAAATAATAAACTAAACATGAGATTGTAGTCCATCACAGGAGCGAGTTTGGAGCGGTGTCTCCTTTAGGCTGGGTTCACACCTAGGCGTATTGAATATGCGCGTTTGTTGCGCGTTTTTACCGCGATCCGCGGTAAAAAAAAAACACGCGTTTGTGGGCTACTTGGCTGTACCCCAATGGAAACGTGAGACCAAAACGCCCCAAAGAAGTACATGTACTTCTTTGGGCATAGGCCGTTTTGTAGCGCGTTCAGACGGGCTGAAATACGCCCAGGTGTGAACCATACCCATAGGAAACAATGGGATTTCTGTGTTTGAGCATTTTGCAGAGCGTTCGAACGTGCTACAAAATGCCCAGGTGTGAACCAGGCCTTAAAAAACACACACAGGGACCATGGGGAACAAAAGTATCCACCCTCCAGAAGGAAGGAGAGTGTCATCACCAATTCAGAGATGATTTGGGGGGATCTACAGCCGAGTGATACAGAAATAAGTTACATTTTTGATAATAGTTAAAAAAGGTACTTGAATGTATTTTTAAGGCTCAGCTCCCAAGTTTAGTACCACTTTAAGCATAACAAGTACACATTTTATTAAACGTACTGTTACCTTATATTGTGACGTGTTAGGATTCACGCAGACTTTCATAATATTGAAAGGTCCACTTTGAACAGAGCAGTACACATTCCCCTACCCATTTCCATTAGTGTTGAAATTTTGCATCAAACCACTGGAGCTCTACAGCCTAAGCTTTGAAATCTGTATTTACAAGGACACGAGGGCACAGAAAGAGATAAAGACCTTGTAGAGGTTCAGAGCTGAAACGAAATTAAAAACTCCCGAAACCGGGCTGATCAGCACGGTTCCATTGAAAGCTGTATGGAAACCGTGCTCAATCACTCCTATACTTTAGGTACGCTTAGGGATTCCTGCATCAGGAACTTGCCGTTTCCTGCAGCAGGAATCCAATTTTGCAATTCAAAAGCAGCAGCTGTCACCTGTTCAAGTTAATGATCGGGCAACAGCTGCTGCATTTGAAATTGGCGAACACGCTGCACGTAATCATATGCGATACAACTACATGCGGTTAGCAATCAATCACTATCCCTGGATGCATCGATCGTGCGGCCAGGGATAGTGATTGATTCCTAACCCTTCTAGCAGGAAGCACTAAGCGGACCTAAAACATAGGTGCGAACGGAGACTTACTCGCAGAGGCGCACCTGTATGTGCAGGAACTTGCGCCCAGGAATGACAACTGTTGTGTGGAGTCACCTGTACAACTCAATGACAGGTTGTGGCTACACGCTGGTAAACACAGAGGTGATCTTATATATCTGTACAGTTACAGATACATGCCCCACGACACAGACTTGGTCTAGGTCGGTGTTTACTAGCGTACAGTGGCATCATGTCATTGTATGGTAGAGGCGGCTCTACATAACAGCTGTCACTCCAGGCCGCAGCTTTGATGGTCGTGCGAAGTAGGCCATAGACGGGATCAGATGCAGTCAGAGTAGCCAACCTACCCCTGGATGAACAGAATGCGATTTTCTCTATATGCACACCTAAAACACAGGAAAATACACCGTGTGAATGATAATTATACATGCATTAAAATATGTTTACTAAATGTCCTAGGAACACATTTGTCAATGGCGATGTGAATAATCCATGTAAATAGGTTTCCATAGCAGCACGTGTCTTGTGTCTCATCCTGAACACTGACAGACTTCTGAACTCTACACGTATCTCTTCTCTCCCATTATACAGTAAAAGAACACTTCAGTTCAATAGACAGGGAGGTGTGGGCACCTTGTGGCCCCGGGCCCCTGTGTCACTTCTGCCACTGAAATATATCGGAAAAAAAAAAAGGGAACCCGGCCTGACCAGCACTCTCCACCTCCACATACCTCGGCCCCCCTCGCTTTCTCCAGTTGCCAGCATGTCCCGCAGTTCGGAGGCAGAGATCCTAACCCTCTCCAACGTCGACGCCATCTTACCAGCGACCGCCAGGAATCAAAACAAGAAGTGAAGTGTGAGACTACGGCGAGTTCGCAGGTCCAAAATGCATGCGTAACACTTACGCTATACGGAATTAGCCACAATGCTGTGCTGGGCGTCTGTATAGAGCGTCGTGTGGGCGTGGCCGTGTTATTGTACGGATGGTGTCGTTGCACAACGTGATGTGTGGGCGTAGCCATGTCGTGTATTGGCAGTGTAGTTGGACCCTACGACGTGTAGGCGTAGCCATGTCCTTGTCCAGACGGTGTGGTTGCACGGTGTGACGTGTGGGCGTAGCCATGGCATTACATGGACGGTGTAATTACACCGTGTGACATGTGGGCGTCGTAATCTCTTTGTAAGGACGGTATAATTGGACGGTGTGACGTGTGGGCGTAGTAATCTCTTGTTATGGACGGTGTGATGTGTGGACTTAGCCATGTCATTGCACGAAGTGGTTGGTTGCAGCACACGTGAAGTTTGTACTCTCTGCTTTTTGCTGCTGCTCCTGCCTATCTAGCTTTAAGGTGAGAGTACAAAATAAAGCAAAAATAAGAGTGTATGGAGTAGATAGGTGAGGTATATGGGAGCAAATATATTTGTTAGTCAGACATGAGATTTCTATGGGGAGTTCAAAGTCCTCTCTAGTGACATTCCATTGTAATACCTTTCTGGGAAAGCTACTAATTCTAGCTTTTGCAAAAAAAAAATACAATCTAGAAGATATGTTGTCCGCACACCATTCTGCTTCGGTATGTCATCTTTATTCGTATTCCTTTAGAATGACACGTGGATGTAACGTTCCTGAACCCTGTGAGGCTCTGAAATGTTGCATCCGTATGTCATGCTGAAGGAATACGAATAAAGATGACATTCCGAAGCAGAATGGTGCGCGGATAACATATCTTCTAGACCTGTGGTTCTCAACTGGTGGGTTGTGACCCAAAAATGGGTCGGGACCCCATGTTCAGTGGGTCACCGCATGCCTTCCACTGCACTAGGTGAGAGGCTCCTCAGCCTCCCCAGGAGTGACATTCTATTCTGTCTCCCGTCACCTCTACAGGGAGTGCAAGGGAGCTGTACAACCCATGCATGTGTGGATGGAGCTCCGTCACAGCACTGCAGCCACACAGAACCCCTAAAAACATTTTTGGAGTGTGTATTTATGCGGGAGAATGTCTCTTGAGTGTGTGAGATTGTGTCTGTGGTTATGTGTGTCTGTCAATGTTTTAATCGCAAACTACCATGCAATTGCCCCTACTGTTCGTTCTGGTGCGGGAGATGGGTTGTGTTGCAATTCATTTGAATGGCAACCCAAACACACCTCCCGCCCACAGTTTGATCACTTGCACCGGAACATGCAGTACTCCGGGCCGGATTTCCCACAAGGCCAACCAAGGCCCGGCCTTGAGTCAGCAGGGAGTAGAGGGGCAGCAGGGGTGTGGAATTCCTATCTCCCAACACCCGGGACATGCAGTTCCAGGTGCCGGGCGAGTAGTTGTTTTCTACATCTAGCCCTGTTTCGGGCAAGCAGAGCTGAATGTACAGCGGGGAAGCCGCCACTTGTTTTGTATAAGTGATCTCGGTGATGTCTTTGAGATCACTTGTATGCAGCCTGCATACAGGGGGGTGCATTGGGGCAGCAGAGAGAGTAAATCCGGCCCTGGCGGTACTGCAATGCCATGTGTTTCAGTGTGGTCCGACTTGGGTCGCGACTTAGTGACCAAGGACACATGTGGGTCCTAAAGTTATACAGGTTGAGAACCACTGTTCTAGACTGCATCGGGATATGGCTGGCTAACAGTGGATATACCGGCACCCAAGGCCAGTGTTTCCACTTCCAGCCATAACCCAGCACAGGCCCTCCCTTCTCTTCAGTGGTAGGTTGCTGGCTGCCTAAAAATCAATGACATCCAGCAGGCTGGGCCAGCTCCTCAACTACAAGTGATCAGGTTGGCTGTACAGCCACACATCACTTGTACTAGTCAGCTATTGTGCTGCCAACCCACCCCCTTTGGGGGTTTTCGGGTCCCCCGCTCCTCTGGGACAGCATATTAATGTATGTTTTTTATATCTGCCTGGAGTTCAGTTTTAAAGTATTATTATACCCCATGTAAAAAAGAATCATTTACCAGGTTATTCACAGAAGGGTGATGAGTTTGGAGAAGTGAACAATCTAGGCCAAAATAGCTGATTTGGAAAAAAATTCCAATTCAGCTCACTTTCCAGTTCATCGATTTTGGCCTAGATTGTTCACCTCTCCTGCCCTCTCGGCCCCCCTCCCTTTCTCCATTTGCCAGCATGTCCCGCAGTTCGGAGGCAGATATCCTAACCCTCTCCAACGTCGCTGCCATCTTACCAGCGAACGCCAGGAATCAAAACAAGAAGTGAAAGTGTGAGATCTTGGGATCTCTTCGCCCTTTGTGAATGACCCCCTTAGTGTTGCAGACATCAGCACTTACCATTTTCCTTTATAAGCATTAGTTTGCTTTCAATTCCACATCTCCAAATTCCCCCTTTTTCTGGGTCCTGTTATGAGGTAGCTCCATCCCCTTATAGAATGCTATGGAGCCACCTTTGATGCATGCTTCCGGATTCTCTAGTGTGCATTGAAACATACAGTCCTGGCCCCAAGCTTCTCTCTTGCCCGTGACCGCTGTCAGTATACAAAGACAACAGTAGGGGATTCGTCCATCAATCCATGCTCGTAAGCATTGATGGAGGAATCTGTTCTATTTTTTCCTTCGGCCTGTGGGTTGAAGGAAAAAAATAAAACCGTGTATACCCGGCTTTAGTGTTTCTGCAGATATGTTAAAAAAAAGTATTGGGGAATGTTTATTGTTTTTTTAGAATGCATATATTTAAAGAAAAAGTTTAGTACTACTTTAGGTTCTATTTAAGGTTTTTAGATCTGGCAATGATTACAATTATTCGACAGACATTTGACTGCATTAAATGGTGAATTCATGCTTAGCAGCAGTAGTGTTTGCTTTTGTGTTTCAGAATGATGAGGTCTACATTCTGTATTGCATTAAAAGATGTGCAGGAAGCTCACAAGAGAATCCGTGATTTGATTCACGTAACTCCAGTCATGACCTGTTCCAGCCTTGATGCACTCGCTGCACGGAAGCTGTTCTTTAAATGTGAACTGCTACAGAAGACCGGATCTTTTAAGGTAAACAAGAATATAACATTTTGAGCTTACAGGGGGTCTTCAACTTGCCCAAGGGTTAAAGGGAAATTCCTTTTAGAAAAGGTATGGACATTAAGTAACATGGACGGGAGAAAGAATAAAAGGACTACCAGTGCAGTGCTGTCATCACACTTCAATTTCATTGAGAAGTCCCTCTGCCGCAGTGGTTGATGAGATCTCCTGTCAATAGGAGATGACACGATGCACAGCTGTGCCAAAGAACTCCGCGATTTGGGGGCGATGTGCTTCCATCACAGATCTAAATCATAGGTGATATCTTAGTGAATCTCTATAGAGTATAAACAGTCAGCATAGCTTTGTAAATAGAGTACAGCAGTATACACTGAGTGGCCAGATTATTATGATCACCCCATCAGTACTTTGTTGGGCCACGAGATGACTTTGTTGGGCCGCCTCGTGCCTCCATGAGATGTTGAAAGGTGATGCGAGGAATCTGACACGGCACTGTTACCCTTCTGTTGTCTTGTACCAGTCTTGCCACTCTCCGTTCTGCCCTAACATTGACTAGTCGCTGACGGCCACAATTCGCACGTTCAGACCCAGATTTTCGGCTGACAGTCCAGTCTTTAAACACTTTAACAATGAGCCCCTCTTGAACATTTAACGAATTCTGCTGTTTTGCTGATACTCGCTCCATGGCTCGCGCCAACAATCATCCCACGTTCAAAGGCTGTTAAATCGCGTTGTTTACCCGTATCTTCAGAAACAAATCACTTCTACTGTCGTGGTAAACAACCTGCTTCCCTATTTATAATGGTCTGGCCCTCTAGCAACTTCAGCGCGAAATTATAGCTAATTTGCCTACAAACGTCAGGTGGTCATAATAATCTGGCCACTCAGTGTAAGTGCGTAGGAGAGACCACCTTTATCCTTGGTACCTTATACTCCAGCAAATTTGGTAGTTAGGTTTTGTTAGAGATATGCCATCTTTCCACTTTACTGCATATAGCGACCCTTCCAACATGCAGATATTACTTAAAGTGACATTAAACCCTCAGATTTTTTAACATAAAACAATACTGTAATGTGCGCCTTACTGTAATCCATGGTTGTTTCCCTTCTCTTTGCTGCTTTTCCTTTTAAATCTGTATCTGTTCTCATGCTGGGGGAGAACTTCTGTTTTGCAGCAGACTGCCTTGTCTCTGGAATGGCTACATGGTGTCTGTGTGTACGTTTGCAACCTGAGCCAGCACTACAGGAAGAGGCACTCAGCTGCAAAGGGAAGTTTGCCCCAAGCATGAGAACAGATACAGATTTAAAAGGAAGAGCAGCAAAGAGAAGGGAAACAACCATGGATTACAGTAAGGCACACATTACAGTATTGGTTTATGTTAAAAAATCTGAGGGTTTAATGTCACTTTAATGTACATGTGTAGATAGTTGAACTTTAAAATTTGTCTGTCCCCAGGCTATGGACCATAAGGTTCTTACATATTTTTAGCAAGCAGTAAAAGAGCTTTAAATCAAACCCTCACTAACCTCTCGAGCTGCATGTACTGTGAAGTAATTGATCCCCAAAGTTCACAAAAAAGTCTCTGAAAGTTGGGTTTCAGTTGGTTTCTGACAAGTTAGAAACACCTGCTCTGTATTAGCTTATTAGTGATGTCAGGATGACATTTTTCTGCTGTCATAAAAAATAAGGCGAGAGGGACTGTGATTTCAGTTCCTCTGTTGTAAATTCTGAAGATGGATTTCTGCACAATGACCACAGCTGAGTGAGGGCTTCTTTTGCAGCTTTTACAGCTTGTGCATATTCTGGGCACAAGCTCACGTTAAGGATCTTGATCTTTTGACAGTTGAGTATTGGCCACTGATGGCATAGGTGATCTATCTTAAGCGAGTTCCCATGTTACAAGGTTATTTGGCAAAATTACTGGGGTTCTGAAAAAATGAACGCACAGCTGTCATGCATTCTTGTTCATTAGATAAACCTACATTTCATGGTTTTCTGCCCAAAAAAGCTGAGCAAAATCCATGAAATATATGACTATACATTGCGGTGTTGATCTGTAGCACTGCACCTCCATCCCTGACCTTTCTTTGTAAAACAGCTGACCTTGGAGTGGGTTGTATTTGCCAACTTGCTCCCATTGGCTACTATCCTCTTATTTAGAGATAATGGGCTTGTTTTTTTTCTTAAATTGGTTTTGCTTGGGTTTATAGGGACATTTAAGTCACAAATGCCTCCCCCTCCCCCATATGCTGCTTTAAGGACCTACCTTAAATGATGCCTCTTGATCCAATCATCTTCTTTCCAGTAGTTTTCAGGAGTCCCTCCAGCGCTGGTGCCAGTCTCGGATCCAGCGCTGACTGCTGCGTCTTCTGTGTCCTATGGAGTCTGTCTGTGTGCATGCTGCTGGGCTGCCTGCATTGACTTACCCCGTGTCTCTCCTCTGTTCCCGGCCGAAGATCTCTACTGCTCATGCGCTCGCCCCATCATGCTGCTCAGCCGCTCGAGAATCTTCAGATCTTCGGACGGGAGTGAGTGGTGGAGACAGATGTAAGTGAAACCCCTTTTGTTAACTTTTTAATTCTTTTTTTATGGTTTTGCATATATCTATGACTAGCAAGCAGTAGATATATGCAAAAAAAAAAGAGTTTCATTATACATTAAGCATGTTCCGGTGCAGAAAAAATATGCTGCTGTACTTTATTTAGGAGCTCTGGAACTGAACGCAATGGTGTAAACTAGCCTCATTTAAAACTGTTGGAATTACTGTGTATGCATTTTTGGTGCAGATGCAAAAAAGGTTTTAAATGTCTGTGTGCCATTTGTTTGCATTTTCAAACTTTCCTTTATACATAATTCACCTGTCATCACTGTAACAGGTAATCATCCTTCTTTGTCATTGGTGACATGGTGATGAGCCATTGATAGCAGTAAAATGTTCTTGTAAAAGGTAGTTATCAAAAGTAATATCTGAGGATCCTTGGAAAGCAGCCTTTGGCAAACAAGGATAGGGAAGGTACACACTAGCTTGCTGCTCATAGTTAGCCAAATGAGTTGTTAAATTAAAATATAATAATACCAAATAAAGACTTGATGTTTCAGATTCGAGGTGCATTGAATGCAGTGCAGAGCCTACCAGCAGACACATGTAAAGCAGTTGTGACTCATAGCAGTGGCAATCATGGACAGGCATTGGCCTTAGCAGCAAAAATGATAGGTAAGTCCTTACAATAGGTTTATAATGCAAAGCTTACATACACTTACTGTGTTTTGTATCTTAGGCATTCCGGCACATGTGGTAGTCCCAAGGACAGCAGCATCATGCAAGAAAGCTGCAATTTCTGGTTATGGTGCAGTAATAGTGGAATGTGATCCTACTGATGAGGTAAGAATTGGTTTGTTTTTTCATACACAGGTTTACTTAAAGAGGATCAGAATTCATAACGTTTTATTTTTATTATAATAGTATTTGCAAGTATGTATATAAATACTGTATATGTTTGGATCCCAAACCCTGGTCCTTACTCTTATTGTGGTGGTGGTATGGTCTGTTATTTTTCTTTATTTTTTTTCCATAAGGATACCTGCAAACATAGGCTAGATACTGTTATGCGTAGCAACCACCAATGCAACCACAATATGATGGAACATGTTCTGCATATTGTAGAGCGAGCCTCAGGTGCACTTCATTAACTTAGGGACCACCTAATTGTGCATTCTTCTGATTATGCCAAGGTGTTTTCCTGTGCATCTTCAGCAAAGCAATATAATGGGATAGCAGAAACAATTTTAGCTGTAGCTGAGGCTGCATATGCAGTGGTGGACTCCTCTAGGCTCCCAGAGTTTATCTAGCCCACTTATATCATTTATCATGTCTGCTTTGGGAGTGAGTTGGGCTATTGGATTTAAGCCGCATGGCACTTAACAGGAGAAGGAGCTCATTGACAAACTCTACAGCAACCAGTTATTACTTATACCTCCTATGCAAATACCTAATGCCTCAACTTGATTTCATTGTTGTTTTAGGTGGTATTTTCATACCCAACAGCTACAGTGTGTGTGAATCTGGGTAATAATAGAGCCTTTTGCAAGTGTTTTTATATTTGACGGTATGCCTGTGATTAATGTCTGTGGCTATTCTCCTGTAAAATGTAAGCTTCCTGAAGACTAGTTCAGATGTTGATCAATTCTGTTAAACCACCTTATACTTATTTATCTCAGTCCCAGAGCTCTGTGCTGGAGTTCCTGGGTCTGAAAAGAGGTTATGCTACTCTTTCTGTTGTTTTTTTTTATTTCTGACGAATGCAACAAGAAGAGTGGAAATACTCTATGGTACATGATAGCAACCAAACATCAATGTTGGTTGTAACAGAGCCAGAAACTATGGCAGGAGAAATTCCACTGAAGTTCCCAAGAAATACAAGCAGCCAGCAAGACTTAACCTAGTAGACTTTGGCTGTAACTAAAATATTACATTTGGGTGAACTGACCTTTAAAAACTTTGCGAGACGCCATGAGGTATGTCGTTTCTGCCCTCAACATGGCATTATTATAACGTACACAGAAAGAGACACTGCTACTGCTGAATACTCTTTAACTTTTTACATTATATATATATATATACACACACACACTGAGTGGCCAGATTATTATGATCACCTGACGTTTGTAGGCAAATTAGCTATAATTTCGCACTGAAGTTGCTAGAGGGGGCCAGACCATTATAAATAGGGAAGCAGGTTGTTTACCACGACAGTAGAAGTGATTTGTTTCTGAAGATATGGGTAAACAATGCGATTTAACAGCCTTTGATCGTGGGATGATTGTTGGCGCTCGGAGCCATGGAGCGAGTATCAGCAAAACAGCAGAATTTGTTAAATGTTCAAGAGGGGCTCATTGTTAAAGTGTTTAAAGACTGGACTGTCAGCCGAAAATCTGGGTCTGAACGTGCGAATTGTGGCCGTCAGCGACTAGTCAATGTTAGGGCAGAACGGAGAGTGGCAAGACTGGTACAAGACAACAGAAGTGTGTGTGTGTGTGTGTTACACATTAATTAAATTGAAGTTTTATTTGTTTGTTTCCTTAAGTCCAGAACAATGGTGGCAGCTAAGACTGTGGAGACGACTGGAGGTATTTTGGTTCATCCAAATCAGGATCCAGCTGTCATTGCAGGCCAGGGGACCATTGGATTTGAGGTTCTACAGCAGGTATTGATGAAGAATGGGCAGCTCCGCCACGATCAGTTAAAAGAATTGCATGCTAACATATTATATTGAAACTGGCAGGTGCCATCAGTGGAAGCCTTGGTCATACCAGTGGGAGGAGGTGGCATGTTGGCAGGAATAGCTGTTGCTGTGAAAGTAAGTGAATACTGCTGGTTAGTTCTAGAACCGAAATGTCTTAATTCGAGAAAAGAATTTGACGCTTTATAAAAGCAAACCTTCATTCCACATGTAACACTGTGCAGCTTTTGTATTTTCAGTAAAAACACAGTAAAACTAAATTCCGGTTGTTGCAGCAGGTTCTGAAGTAAAAAATACTGTAGTAATGTGAGCAGGCAGGAAATCTTATATATCATAAGCTTTAAAATATAGACATAGTCTACTGTTCTCACCCTCAGGACATCTGCTCTGAGAAATACCATGCAGCCATCTGTAGAATACATGCATGTAGACAGAGTGGCTGCAAAGAGGTTGCAGGATAGCAACAGCACTGAGATCCAACCAGAGATGGAAGGTAAAACCACTATTTATGCTACTGCTAGCTCAGAATGATTGGGGACTGCCTGTAACTCAAAGAGAGACCTAAAAGGACCTTACACCTAATGCTGGCATCAAATGAGGCTTGAGAATCCATCTGGTAAAGTATGTGAAATAAAAAACGCCAGGTGGCACCCTTTCAAATCAGAAACAGAAGCCACATGCCAAAGAAAATGTCTGTCTGAGCCACTGAGAAATGGTAGAATGAGAAACTAGTTCACTGTTACAGGAACCATCAGGATTGTGAGAGTCAATCATTCTGAAGGAAGTAGTGTCTGTTATAGACTGTCAAAGCCTAAACAACATCTAGACAATAGAGGGAGATCTCCTCCTGATGAACTGGAGCAAGACAGAACAATGTCCTAGTTAAGTTGAAAGGCCAAAGCTACCTTAGGTTCTGGACCTCAACGCTTTATCCTCTTGCAAGACCAAACAGGGTTCTTTACAGGATTAGGCTGCCAGGTCAAACAATTACCTTGCAGATGATGGCAACATGAAATGCCACCTTGTGAGTGAGAGTAGAAATGGGAATATCCCTGATATGTTTAAAAGGCGTTTAAAGTGCTGAGAGAACTAAATTCAGATCCCAGTCACATGGGAGACACCCTGTACAAAGGTCTTGATCAAAAATTGAAAAGCCAACAGTCTCTGAAATGAGATAGCAAGAGCAGATACCTGATTCTTGATGGTGCAGAGGGCCAAATCCTGGTCCAGACCCATCTACAGAAGTAGAAAATTCAAACGGTCCAGATATTGTAAGGCAAGTGCTAAGACAATGCCAACAGCTGTGGATCTTGACAGTGTTCCGTGGGTAACTTGTTACTAGAACGCGGTCTGGAGAGCACCTAACGTAAAACACAGTGCCCGAAGGTCACATCCAGTCCATTGGTATCCAGATGTGGCCTTCCAAAACTAATCTGAGGAAAGGCTGATCTGGAAAGCTGACCAGCTCAGGCAGCAATGTAGCAGGAATCTTTATTGGGAAGAAAAAAAAACAATGTTGGGGGTAGGAGGGGTTATCCTAGGCTGACCTACAATATTTTTGTTTGCAGAATGTCCAATACTCTTGTAGGCAGCAATTTAATATGAAAGTTAATCACTCCATGTCTCTCAATAGAAGAGAAAGACATTTTAAACCAGATCCTGTCACTTTGTTGGGCCGTTAAGTAAGGCAGCCATGTGGTGATGAAAATGTTAAATATTTACTGCTGCAGGCAACAATGTTACTCTGAAATTCAAACTGGAGGCCATTCTGAAAACACACATGCTATTTTCTGGCCAGCTCATGAGCAATACAAAAGAAATCATTTCCATTGAAGTATTTTTGTGTGCTGTATAGGCTATCACAATGTAATGGCCAGAAATATTGGCTTTGCAGTGTGAACACATCACACAGTATTCTTTAACACAGAAGTAGAGTTTTCTGAGCTCTATGTTCTTGTCCACAGGCAATTAAACCAGATGTAAGAATATATGCAGCAGAACCTCTTAATGCAGATGACTGCTATCGCTCAAAGGTGAATGGTGTTTTAACCCCAAATGCCAAGCCTCCAACCACTATAGCAGATGCTGTGAAGACAAGCATTGGTCCAAACACATGGCCAGTTATAAGAGACCTGGTGGATGATGTGTTTGTTGTCACTGAAGAAGAAATTAAGGTAAAAAATACTTTTCTACAGATTTTTTTTTTTCTTTTTATAATTTGCACATGTGTAGAAAGTTTTTATAGTCTCTGTATAAAAACTACAGTTCACCTAATAAACTGATTTTTTTTATATATATATATATATATAACCTTGCGAAAATGCAGACTCTGCCAACAATACTTTCTAAGTCACTGACCTGAAATAAGCATGCAGCCAATTAAGTCAGAACTCCTGAGCTGCATAATTGTTACAGGTCAGGTTATTAACGTATTGAAGCCAAAGAATCAGCATGGCAGCCAGGCAATACACATTTTTACAAGGTGCAAATCAACAATGACAGTCTCTATTGTTCTCTCTGACTGAGTGCTGTTTTCCTCTCATCAGCTATTGGACCTGATTGCGCCTTGCTAATTCTTGCAATGGAATGGTCAGAAGTGTTACTTAGTTAATGTCAAAGACTCATGGGAAGTTATATGAAACACCTACGAGGGAAAAATGTCTGCCAAAAGGGGCAATAGCAGCTTATGAAGCAGAGGGTGTAGTTACCTTTTCCATAGTGCACTACCTCTTAATATTTTTGTTGAATCAAAGATTGCAAAAGCAAAGTTTCCATGTGTTTTTATTCAAGTATATAAATCGTTATGAGGCCACTAATTGAATGAAAATCTAATGTTTGTCTGTTCAAATGTGGTCAACGATTCCCATGGGCTGTACTCACTTTTTTTTTACATAGTCTCTAACTTGTGTAAATCACTTTAAATTGAGGATACAAGTTAGCTAGAGACTTGCACTACACACGTTTGGTAAATTTAAAAGGAGATTTTTGTCAAATGTTGAACACCTTTGTGTAAATTAAGGCCTTCTGGGACAAGTAGTCCAGGGAACTGCAAAGAGATTAGCAACTGCCCCAAAATCTCCCGCATTAACAATATATTGTATTAGATATAGATTGTATTTTTTTTAATCTTAACGCTTGTGCATAAAAATAAAGGGAGGGTTACCAAGTTCAGAGATGCCTATTGTCGATAGGTTATTGCAGAACAGCTTTAATGTAAGCATGTCAGATCTTGGCCTAAGTTCTGTTTATAAACTGGGGAATAAAAGATGACCAATACCCACTCTTCGATCTCTATTCTGTAGCAAAAAGTCAAAAACAGAATTTTAAAAAAGGTACTTGAGAAAAGAATGGGGTCTCTGAAAATGTAGTGGAGGCAGCATACTGTTAAGAAAAATGGCACAGCTGTACACTAATACATGTACACAGTCCTAGTGTGAATTGGATCGGTGCTAGACTATTTAAAGACTGTAGTGGCCCCATACAGGCCAGAAAGTTAAAATAACACGTACAGCTTCTAAAAGATACTTACTTATGCATCAGCAGCATACCAGGCCATTACTGCAGTTTCTTTATAATTGCCTCATTTGCCATATAAAGATTTCAACAAGGCAGTTAGCACAAGTTTAAATTTCATGTTCATAAGCAATTCATATTTAACATGTAGTTGAGCCCTTAAAGAACACTGGCCAGCAATACACTAAAGGTTCGGTTATATGTTTATCCCCAAGAAAGAAGCCCTGACATAACTTCTCATGTACACAGTCCTAGTGTGAATTGGATCGGTGCTAGACTATTTAAAGACTGTAGTGGCCCCATACAGGCCAGAAAGTTAAAATAACACGTACAGCTTCTAAAAGATACTTACTTATGCATCAGCAGCATACCAGGCCATTACTGCAGTTTCTTTATAATTGCCTCATTTGCCATATAAAGATTTCAACAAGGCAGTTAGCACAAGTTTAAATTTCATGTTCATAAGCAATTCATATTTAACATGTAGTTGAGCCCTTAAAGAACACTGGCCAGCAATACACTAAAGGTTCGGTTATATGTTTATCCCCAAGAAAGAAGCCCTGACGTAATCAATTATTTGCTGTGTGATAATCTGTTACCTTTATGGACATCATAAAAAGCCTACTCTTCAAAGCTGTCCCAACAAATAAAACTGTCTTTAACACCTGTTGTAAAATCTAATATTTTAGCCTTCCTTTAACTTTGTCTCTATACAGCAAGCTACGCAGTTGGTGTGGGAGAGAATGAAGCTACTAATTGAACCTACAGCTGGTCTCGGTTTGGCTGCTGTCCTTTCCAGACGTTTCCAAGAGACAACACGAGATATACAGAACATTTGTGTAATTCTATGTGGAGGCAACCTGGACATAAGCAGTATAGACTGGGTAAAGGAGTCTCCTGACACACAGCAACTGAATGACCCCGGCAAAATCTAACTTCTCTACCCATAGAAAACTGCTGATTTTTCTTTCCTTAAATTTGTTATTCACTCATTTAAAATAAATACAAATCATAACTAAATGTTTTGTCTGAGGCACAGAAATATTTGGGTGTTGAATGTACTAATCCATCTCCACTTCAGCAAGATCAATTTCAGCCTCATTCTTCACCCAAGTCACTGCGTGAGGTACATGTGGGTCATAAGTCCATTTAGGATAAACACGCTTATACAAGTTCATCAATATGGTGTCCTGTGACTTCAACTGCCCATCAAAATGACACTTCATGTGACCATGTGTTCCTAATGAGGGTGACAAAAAAAAAAAAGTGATTAGCTTGCACTTGCAGATTAGCATAAGTGTTATTTTCTCAAAAGGTTTTTCCACTTTCATAGGAAAATTAAGCAACCCCACTATTTGCTGCACTGGTAAAGCCTGACAGGCTCCCCCTGCTCTAAACGTCTGATAATCAGCTGTTTAATTTTTTTTTTATATTTGCTGGTGTAATGTAGCTCTCACCTCACAAAGCCATTGCTGCAAGTGGAGCTCCAAACCCTGAGCTGGCTTCAGCCAAAAAAGGTCCAACTGTTCTTGCTGCCCCAGCAGACCCACTTTTTGACGGGGATGACACAGCTGATCACCAGGGTTTAAAAGCAGACTAACTCATAAATCCACATCACTATGTACGGGAATGACAGTTTAGTGAAAGTGGACAACCCCATGAAAATGCTTTCTTCTTTAATACGGCAGTACAGTATATTAAGAGAGTGTTATTTTTACGGGGCAAGTTAAAACAATGTCTGTATGTTCATTCTGTAGATGGGGCAAGTTAGGCAAAAAGACGTTGATTTACATGCATGTTAACTAGATTCCAGTAGCCATTTTTTTAAATGCAGTTTAGAAAACGAAAGCAGTCATCTGGTTAAAGTTTGCATTTGTCTTGAGTTTTTAAATGACAGGCCAAAACACACAGGAACCCATTATGATGTTCTTATAGCCAACAGTTTATTGAATGAGATTTTGCAACATAACATGATTCAGTGAGCTGACATGGGAATTGTAATATCCAAAGTATGAAGACTGGTGTGGGTAAGAATGATAGTATCCTAAGTATATAAGGGGTAAGTAGGTGCGTGTATGTATGTGGGTGTGATAGAAATGTTATGTTCAAATGCTCATCTAAGATTTTACGTGCTTACCGCCAATGACACAGCATACTAACTGAAATGAACACGCTGCTACACTACACATAAAGCTTTATACAAAATAAATAAAACAAAGTACTCACCTAGAGGTTCTTTGATGTGTCCTCTGCGACCCCACTTTGTTCGCAACTCTACTGGCTTAAACCACAATATATCCTCTGCAAAAATACAATGAATTCAGTCAGAGAAGATAAAAGGTTATTGCTCAGCATTACAGTGATATTCCTCCTCTGGACACATTTTAGCCTTTCAATATATCCCTCAGACTGATTTTCCCATAGTGAAGGTCCCACTACATTGACTTCAGGTCAGAGAAAATAAAGGTTATTGTTCAGCATTACAGTATTATTCCTCCTCTGGACACATTTGAGCCTTACAATATAGCCCTCATAGACTGATTTCCCATAGTGAATGTCCCACAGAAAATATACCTGTCCTCTAACTGCAGCGCAATGTGTTTTGTTAAAGTGATATTACACAGTTTGTTTTTTAAACGTTTATGAATGGGAGGCCGCATTTTTGCAGTTTTGTTCTTTTTTTAAATTTTAATCTTTTAATTGCTCGTTTTCTCGTGGGTCCCCTCATCTTTCTACCCCCTACCAGGATGCCTCCATCAGGTAAGAGGCTGCTGTGGAGGCACCTGTGCCCCTCCAACCTGTGCCCCTTCAGTAGCTGTGTACATCCTTACACACGCACAGCCCTGCGGCAGACCACAATCCTGCTCTCTGCCCAACAGTTTGACAGACGGCAGAAGTAGCCTATGGCTCATCTGTCCTCAGTATCCTCCCCCATAACCAGGAAGTTCGGGGAATGGAGGATCGCTTCAGGGACAGGCAGCGGTGACATAGGTGAATGTGGGGGCGGGGGCACAAAAAGGTACTGGCTTTTTTTTTTTACTTCAATGCAGAGAATGCATTAAGGTAAAAAACAACCAGTCTTTAGTACTACTTTAATCCTTCTACATCTATGCGAGGTTTTCTGGGCTCCCCAGGAACAGATATAAAGGCAAGTAAAAAAACATTATGGCGCTTGCTTTTTTAGAAGATTTACATCATTAAAGTTGGCACAAATCTACTTTACAGCGAACATAGGAGCATGGAAATATGGACCACCCTATGGTCACACAGCTCCAGAAGGGGTGGGCAATTCCTGCCCTCCAACTGCGCTTTAACTACAAATCCCAACATGACTCTCCCTCTGGAAGTCATCCCTGTAACTGTCAGTTTTGCAATGCCTCATGGGTCTTTCAGCTCCCTAATAGCTGAAAGGCTGGCGTTTCCTGCCCCTGAGCTACAGGGTATACACAGCACTTACTAGTGAAATCTGATGCTGAATGCATTTAAAGAAGCAATGCTTCTAAACAGCTAGATATTAGTCCACCAAACACTATAGACAACTAAGGGATCTCACTTCTGCTTACATAGAGGGAGGCTAGATCTCTCCTCTGTTTTAGTACTATGGTCTGAAGGTCTCACAGATAAAATACAGAGATCAAGGTCACACAAAAAATTCTATATACAACTATACCTCTGTTGAAGAACATGTAGCGGACAACAGCTGTTTTTTTCATGATCTTAAATGGATGACCACTAAGAACAATTCTCTTGATTATCGTCCTGTCTGGGTCCACAGTCAGCAGTGATCCAGTGGCAATCAAATCATGCATCCCTACAATGCAAAACAAAATGGCAATTTGCAAAACACAACATTTACATTCTGCTTGTAAACAAAATTACCACACTGTCCATCAATATTGTCAGTATTCAAGTGTATTAAGTGCCTGTTAAAATAATATATATATTATTGTATGTCCATAGCTTGGCCACGGTTCTGCTTTAAAAGGAGAACAATGAGGTGAGTGCTTTTCACTCACCTCATAGTTCTAGCCGACCTGTGACAATGAGACTGTCACAGGTCGGCTCAGTAGATCGGGAGGGGAGCGAACACATAGCGGCTTTCGCTCACCTCTCGATCCTGACACGGCTCTCTGCTGGATTACCCCCTCCCCGCTCATCCAGAGCTGACTGGCGGAACGGACGGGGGAGGGTACAGCAGGTTCTGCCTCTAGATAGGCAGAGCCAGCTGTCAGTCACGCAGCTGGGCGGATCCCGGCATAATTGTCGGGATCCGCTTCAGCTGCGGCGTCTCAGTATACCGCGAGCAGCAGCTTGCGGTATACTGCGGCATCTCAGTATACCGCGAGCTACAGCTCGCGGTATACTGAGCCCAGGGTGACGGGAGGATGCTAGCTGGATTCCCCCCTCCCCGCTCCGCCAGCGCTGACTGGCGGAACGGACGGGGGAGGGGGCGGGTACAGCTGGCTCTGCCTCTAGATAGGCAGAGACAGCTGTCACGCAGCTGGGCGGATCCCGGCATAATTGTCGGGATCCACTTAAGCTGCGACGTCTCAGTATACCGCGAGCAGCAGCTCGCGGTACACTGCGGCGTCTCAGTATAACGCGAGCAGCAGCAGCTCGCGGTATACTGAGCCTAGGGTGACGGGAGGACGCTAATTTGTGTCCTCCCGTTACCCTAAGGAGAACTATGGGGAAAAGCCTTAACCCCATAGTTCTCCTTTAAGTATTGAATCTCCAGGTGCTGTGTCCTGACTGGCATTGGGACTGAGATTTAAATGTTATCTCTGGTCAAAAAGTAAAAATCAATATGTATTTCTATATTGAATTTCCAGTTCAATCCCACTCCTAATAAAACATCTCAATCTAGAAGTTTGTAAACTTGCTTATTGACTATGTCCATAGGATGTACTTCCTCAATGCAGTGACACAATTTCTCTCAGCCCTGTGACTATCACATTTCTTGTGTCACAACTCAGAGCCTTCTGAGCTACAACTCAATATCTGAACAATGTAACTTTATCATTGATTGCAGGCAGCAATGCATGATGGGATATTGCATGACATCAAGAGATTGCATGACATCAAGCAGCAGAAAAACAGATGCAAAGCACACTGGGAATCCAGGAAGTTGGTGAAAGTGATGGGCAGACAGAAGGAAGCACTCACTACATAAAAGGGATTTTTTTCAAGTCAGCTTTGATTTCATTATGAAAAGCTCTAGTATGTGTTCCTATTACAATGCTGATGTTATAACAGGAGAATATATGCTGGGACTTTACAACTCCTTTAACATTAGTTCCCCCTAAGAAAATATAGAACATCTATCCACACCTCTCCTGTACATCTTTCAGTGCTTCTGCCCGGCTGCACTACAATGCTTCAATAAGTAATGCAGAGATAAGGCAATGGCAGCTGTGTGTTCTGCTTTCACAGTCCACAATAACTCCTGTATGCACACCTCCACACCAGAAAATGGGATTGCTTCACTCCCTCTCAAGATGTAGAAGGCTGGAGTAGCTAAGCCATTACATTGTGAATAAGTGCCGCCAACACAATTCAAACACTGACGGGGCCACAAAAGATCAATAGACAACACAAAGTGATAGTTGCAAAATATTAATTTCAGGTTCATGAATGACACAAGGGGGCAAGGTTAGTGCACAGAAATACAAATGTACTGCCTAGAGTTCAGATTTAATGCAACTGTGATTAGCTGAGCAGGTAATAAAGCACTCGCCTTACCATTATTGCGTTGTTTAAACATTAATACTGATGCAGGTGGGAAGGTAATAGGAGCATATAAAGTGGCAACCACAGAAGCATCAGAGTGCAGGAAACGTTCAGACTTTTGTTTGTCCGCTGGAATGAGAGGAAACCAAAAACAAAATGATAAAATTCCCGTTTACATTTCTTATTTTAAACAGTAATGCCCCCTTTAGATGT